GCTGGGTGAGGATTCCATAGAACTCCTAATATCTTTACAACTTCTCTGCAAATGTAAAATTAGCCTTAACTCAAAAGGTTATTTTTTTGTTCAGTACTGGAGATTGAAGCCAGAGCCTCTGAGCTATATTCACGGCTCGTTTTTGTTTTCCCTTTTAATTTTTTATTTTGAGACAGTCTCCCCCCCAAGTTACACAGACTGGGTGATCCTCCTGCCTCAGCCTGCCAGAATGCTGGGAATACAGGCATGCACCTGTTCAGAATTATGCAGTTAGTTTCTAAATTCACTAAAATTATACATAAGAGGGTCCAGGATTTAGCTCGGTGGTGCCACCGCCTGCCTCAAAAGTGCAAAGTCCCGAGTTCGATCCCAGGTACCCCCCCCCAAAAAAAATTATACATATGAAAAAGCTTAAGGACAGTTGGTAAGATCCTAAAACCCATGAGATAGGGCTTTGGATAAATAATTTTGTAGTGCTCACTGGTGTTATATTACATAACTTCTCAAAAGTCAAGCAAACTAAAACGTCTGTCCATTATGATTATCATTGAGCCTACCAGTTTTAACAGTTAGTCTCAAAGATCAGTTATTAATGAACAATAGCTCAAGGGTTTTGTTGTTTGAGATAGTGTATAGTCCCGATTGGGCTCAAACTTTTGATTCTCCTGTCTTGGCCTTCAAGTGGCTGGGAGCCTGGCTGGTTTGTACATGTTTAAATGACTGAAGAAATACAGACCAAAAGGACAATAATATTTCACAGCACGTGAACTGAAATTCACATTTCAGCATCCATAAATAAAGTTTTACTGGAACATGGACAAGCCCCACTTGATTATGTATTATGTATCTAGGGCTATTTTACTGCTACATGGCTGGGCCCAGTGGTCAGGACAGACCCTGTAAGGCCTGCAAAAATATTGCGTATCCATCTCTTTACAGATGAAGTTTGCTGACCTGTTATAGACAACTTCTCACCTGCCCATTTGCACACACACACCTCCTGTTTTTGGTTTTGTTTTGTTTTGTGTTTTCTGGTACTGGGATTTGAACCCCGGACTTCTGCCCTGAGCTTCATCCTCAGCCCTTTTTATTTTTTATTTTGGGACAGGATCTCTCTAAGTTGCCCAGGCTGAGCTCAAACTTGCATTTTACAGGTACATGTCACCATACCCGCTTTCCATTTCACTGCCACTCTGGGATTTAGGTGACCATAGGACAAAAGTGGCCTGGTGAGGGCAGGGCAGGGAGTGTGACTATCAGGGAGCTGGGAGACACTGAGAGAAAGGTAGGGTGCTGCATTCCAGAAGAGCTGACTTTCAGCTGGTCCTGTGAATCTGGGAGAAAGGAAGTCTATTTTAAGAAGTTAGCTGAGGGACGGGACAGATGAGTTAGACAGAGGGGTCTCACAGGGTCCAAGAGGCCAGAGTTTCTTGGAGCTAGATCTGTGAGCAGGGTGAAACCATGCCCCAGGTCCAGCCTCAGGGAAAGGGTGATGGCCTGATCTCCCTGCTCCTGGGAGTGGGACAGCTTTCAGGCAAATCTGCTAATGATACTCAGGAGAAAATCAAGGACCTGAGGTGAATCTTGCCTTCTCCGAGGACCTAACTCCAGAAGGGAGCTGAAGAAAAGTCATGTTATCTCTCCACTGCTAGGCTTTGCTCAGCATTGCGTGCCGCATAGTATTGTTCACAAAAATATTTTTACTTCACTAGGTGGAGAATACTGGGGATTAAACCCAGCGTCTCACAATTGCCCAGCAAGTGCTCTCCACTGAGCTACACCCCAGCCTGATGCTATTGTATTTCATCACCATCACCTTGAATCAGAAGCTTGTCCATCTGCATGACCAGGCCATATACCCAGTTCCATTATCAGAGTGAAAAACCACCTTCTTTCTAACTTCCCAAGCAAGAAAAATCTCCCTTTTGTGTCACTTAAAGTACCAAGTACCTAATTCCTGACTACATAGAAACGATCAATTGGGGTAGAAAAGTGACTAAAAGAGGGAGGAAGATTAAATAGATCACCTAGGGCAGGGGATTTAGCTCAGTGGTTCCACTGCCTGTCTCAAAAGTGCAAGGTTTGGAGTTCGATCCCCGGTACCAAAAATAAATAAATAAATAAATAAATCTCCGAAAGCTTATTAATCAAGTAATAATAGAATAACCATTTTTTTTAAAGGTAGAGATGGTTCAGTGGCACAGTGCTTGCCTAGCACCTGGGAGGCCCTGGGTTCTATCCCCAGTACTGCACGTGCACAAAAGTAAAGATAAATTCTGTGAAAAGCAGAAAGAGGAAGGAAGTGGTAATATTATAGACCGTTAAGTTAGAGAAATTAATATATAGTCAGAGAAGGATTGGGCCCTCATGGAAATCAGCACAGAAATAAAGACATCAGAATTGTGGCTGGAGGCTAATCTGAAGAGAGGCAGGCCACAGGATGCAGATGCAAAAGACAGGCCTGCATGTGTCCCTGGAGATAAACGGCAATTTGAGACTGTACTGCAATCAGCACCACCTGGTCCAAGGGGACCCAGATAGGCATCAGGGATCAGACACACAGGTGGGTAACCAGAACATCTAGACCCATACTGGCCTTCCTTCCAAGAATTCCTTTGTTCTTTCCATGTACCCTTGCTACATGCCTCACTTACCTACTGGATCAATAGTAGCTGAGCAGCTATACTTGTAACTCTATAGGTTGATTGTAGTTTGACCCACATTGTGATTCCGCTGGATTGAAGGGCCTCAGAAGCCACCCATTTGGGACCCCTCCTGTCTCTCAGGAGCTTTCTCGTAAGAAAACTTTCATACTCTTCTCTCCTTTGTCCCTTAGAATTCCTGCTCCGATATTCTGGGGACATGAACTCAGCACATTTGACATCTAACAGGTTGGAGTTATAGTTTTCCTATATCAGTAATATAGTACTTTCACCAGTGTTAGAGTCAACTGATTCTGTCTAAAGAAAGAGAGGATTGGGTGTATATACGTTTGTAGTCATAAAGGTTAGCACAATAACAAAAAGGTATATCCTTATGAATTATTGGGAAATGGACCCGTGCCACATGGACCCACACAAAAGGAAATACAGCCACAGTGTTGAGGCACTGAAAAGCTAACAACAAAGCACACAAAATGTGATGAAAATTTAGACCAAACACACACGTATATGGGTTAAATTCTTATTGCCATTCATTTGCCCTTTTCCTGTTAGCAGAAGCATTCTTTTGTGTGGGGCTGCTACATCCAGCCTAAGGGGATAGTCAGTCAGCAAAGCCAGGCTTTCTTCAGCCTCCATCTCTGAGTGGCCAGTGAGATCTGAGGGATGTATTCTCCAGGGCTAGGAGGAAGATCATTTTTCCCTGATGATAGCAACCCTAGGAGGTTAAGGACTTTTACCAAGACCACCTGTGTTTTTGAACTGAGGCTGGGAGCAATGGCAGCCATTCTGGACTCATGAGTCAGCAGCAAGGAAGGCAGAGCAGAGGGAAGGAATAAGCTGCGATCTCAGACAATAATGCTGCTGAGTAGAGTAGCAGAGCAAATGCCAGGAAGCAAGCCGCAGTGTGACTCATAGCCTCACTTCCAACTTTCATTTCTTTCTTAGGCCTGTCCTACAAAGGAGGTCAGCATTAATCTTGCTTAGCAAAAAATGCCTCTCCAAAGCTTTTAACATCTGTCTTTGTAGGCAGTTTAGATATTTCTTTTAGAACAGAGAATGGTTGATTCGTACTAAAGAACTTCCTAGCAGGGACTCTTACTGGCTGCAGATTGTATAAATGACGTTAACGGTCAGCTGGGGGCACAGAATTCCAGAACGTGGAAATGTTGATGCAGTGCCAGAAAACCACTCAGGAAGGAGGATATAGAGGTCCTGTGAACTGCTCCAGGCCGTTTGTACCTGGAGATGCTTGCCTTTCTACTAGTGCTTGGGTATTACTACTCCTTGGTCTCTTTTACTGATTTTTATGGACTTCTAAGAATCTGTCTAATGAACTTTCTCTCTCTCTTCAAGCCTCTCTCCCTTATCCTCACATTCACTGGCTTTCTTTTGTATGTCATTAAGTCTCTGAAGAATATTCTAATTTCTAGATCCCTATTTCTTCACGCCTTCCTCTAAGTTCTCTGAGAATCAATCTTCCTCCTTTCCTTCCTTTTCTTTCCTTTCTTCCTCCCTCCCTTGCTCTCTCCCTCTCTCCCTCCCTGCCTTCCTCCCTTCCAGTGCTAGGGATCAACCCAGGGCCTCCAGCTAGCTGAACAGACTCTACTGTGAACTGCATCCTCAGTCGCCAACCCTCCTTTCCAAAATAAATCACTGCACAGTGGTCTCACCCATCAGAGGACCTCACATTTGCCTGGATGTCTCTCTTCCTCCCACTTCATTGGTCCTTTCCCCATTTGCTTTCAACTCTGCAGCAGATCTCTGGACAGTCATGCCCCTGCTTCCCCACAGTGCTTCTCTCTGGGACTACCAACCCCTTCAAGAGTGACATATGCCCTGGAGTTCCATCCACTCTCTGTCCATACTTTCATCTGCTGCATACTTGGCAACTTGGTTTCCATCCCCGCAGCTACATTGAGACTATTCTCCAAAGGATCAACAATAACCTCCTTTTAGCGCAATCCATTATCCTTTTGTGGTTTCTCATGCTTGACCTCTAAGCATTCCCTGCTCCCTCATCTCTCTTACCTCAGATGCTCTCTTCCTTGGCTTCCATCCCATTTTCTAACTATTCCATCCCTTCTGATTGCCCTCTGTTCCTCCTGCCATCCCTCTACTGCACATTCCCTTGGCTCCTTCTTCTCTCTTCAGTCTTTCACTCCAAGGTCACACCATCCTCCCTGCAGCTCTTACCCTGGGAGCTAAAAACAGCCTGCACAGTACTTTCCCAGTTAAGCTCTGGTCCCTCTTCACCAACCACCTACTAGGTCCTTGCTTTTGGATATTTCATGGCACTGAGGTTTGCTGTGTCTCCCTTCCCGATTTTGCTCCTCTTACCTCCCATCCTGGCATGGTCATTTCCTTACAGCCACGTGGTCTCAAGGTATAGTATCAAAATACCACAAACTGAGCAAGAGGAAATTGTTACTCAGAGATCTGAAGGCTCCAAGTCCAAGATCAAGGTGGGAACAGTCTGAGTTTCTCCTTGGCTTGCAGGTGGCTGCCTTTCTGCTATGTCCTCACACGGTCATCTCTCCATGGTGTCTCTTGTTCTTCTCTGAAAGACACAGGTCATACTGGATTAGTCCCCACTTGGCCCACTGAACCTTAATACCTCTTTAAAGGCCTTATCTCCAAATATGGTCCTGTTCTCAGGTGTAACAGGGGGTTGAAACTTCAACATATGAGCACTGGGGAGGTGCAGTTCAGTCCATACCAGTCACTAGCCATACAAATGATTCTCCTCGTCATTTACCTCCAACATTTCTCCAGACTTTTCCTATGGAAGATGTAAATCCATCTCTGTGTCTCTACTCCTCATGCCATTTTCAGTTCTTAAATCCCTAGCTGGTTTTCTGAAGGCCTTCTAAAATTTGACCCATTTTATCTTCTCCTTTAGTGTTTTAATCAAAGCAACTAATGTACACTGTAAAAAATATAAACTCTAATGATAAAAAGCAACAGTCCTCCGCTCTAGCCCTTGGCCCATTTCCCAGACACAGCCTTTCTATAGTTGAAAATTCAAAAGGTGCCAAAGTCTACGCTGCAAAAAGTCCCCTTCAACTCCTGCTTGCTGGTCACCCAGGTGCTCTTCCATAGGCGACCAAGGTTATTAGTTTCTTGGGCATTTTGGTCCCCTAGATAGTCTGTACCTGTAAGGAAGTGGGCGTGTCTGTTCATTTTCCCACAAATGACAATTTACCACTGTAAACATGGTTGCAAGTTTCACTTAATAAAATGCGAATAAACATTTCCTAAACACTCTTAATTTTTCTATTATTCTAAGTGTTAATTCATTTAGAGCCCACAATAGCTTTCACAGATGAAGGGCCATGATAATGCCATTTTACAAATGAGCATGTTGAGACACAAAGCTAGGAATTGGCAGAACCAGTTTTAAACTTGGGTGGGCCAAATCCCCAAGCTCACAGAGCTTGCGTACTTAACCATGGTACTGTGATAGTTTCAGATCAGGGCAGGAGAGCATTTGCATTCTTTTCAAATTTTTCTTTCTTTTTTTGTTGTTGTTTTTGGAGACAGGGTCTTGATGTGTCCTTCTAGTTGCCCTTGAACTTACTAGATAGTCCAGGCTGGCGTTGAACTTGTAGTGATCCTCCTCCCTCAGTCTCTCCGGTGCTGGGATTATAAGTATGTACCACCATGCCTGGCCAAATATTTCTTACAAATTTTAAAAAAATTGTTATTAACAAAATGTTTTTAAAAATTTAAAATTTAAAATTTTATGTTTGTAGTACATAAGGATTACATTCATTATGGGGAGTTGGCACATGTATATAGCACATCCTCTTCCCCTTCTTCCCCTTCTCTTCATCTTCATCTCTTGGTCACTTTCCCATTTACAAAAGATCTATCTCCCTGTTTCCTAGTCTCTATTTCTTAAATTTCTTTATATTTTGGGTTTCTCATATAAGAGAAACTGTGATATTCAAGCTTGTGTGTCTAATTTTTTTGATGCAACATGATGGTCTCAGGTGCATCCATTTTCCTACAAATGATTCAAATTTATCTTTCTGTATGGCAACGCCGTACTCCATTTAAACTTTCCTTTTATTAAAGTAAAATGTGTTCAGAAACATTTACAGATCATAAAGGTACAGGGCAATGAATCATCAGAAAGTGAAGACATTGCAGAATCACTACCTGCCTCAAGAAACCACAACCCCAGAAGCACCTTCTCATGCCCTGCTAGTTAAATTGGGCTTTTTTTTTTTTTTCTTTGAGACAGGGTCTCACTGTGTAGCTCAGGCTGGCCTAGAACGCACTTTGTAGCCCAGGCTGCCCTCGAACTTATGGCAGTTCTCCTGCCTCAGCCTCCCAAGTACTGGGATTTTAGGTATGTGCCACCACGCCTGGCTGAAATTGCCCAGGTAGCAATTTTAAACAATTTCAACAATTTTAAACAATTCATCCATATATATTTAGGCTGTGTCCAATTTCGAACTATTATGAAAACTGATGCTATGAATATTTGTAATTCCTTACAAAGTAAAATATGATCATTTGTATTTACTCTTCTTTCAATTTCTCTTTCCCCTTCCACTTTTCAACTTCTGCCATATGTCTTTACTTTCACATTGTCAAGGGTGATAGCATTTACAGTTCATTCTGTGGGATATTTAATGTTATTTCTGTAGTGTATGCCAATATATAGCTTTCATTATTAGAACTGTGTAAATATTGTTCACTCTATAGCAAAATATTGTGACAGGAATCATTTTTCTACCTTAGATTCATTTTTAGAATCCTGGGTCTTTCAAACTAAAGTGTTCTTAGCATGCATATATATATATATATATATATATATATATATATATATATATATATATATGGACCCTTTTTTCATTCACTATACCAGTAGTTCAAAATTCAGACATTTTATAAAAGTTTTTGAAGTTTTTATTAGTACATGTTGAAGTACATGATTACATTCATCATGGGGAGTTGGTACATGGACATAACACATCTTAATTCTTTTTTCATACCTTTTCCTTCCCCTCCCTCCATGCCATGCTCCCCTTCCTTTTTGGAAAAGATCTAGCTCCCCGTTTCCTATTATCTATCTTTTATTTTCCTTTTTAATTTATTTATACTTTAGGTTTCACAAATAAGAGAAACCACGTGATACTTAGGCTTGTGTCATTTAGCATTATAGTCTCAAGAGGCATCCATTTTCTTACAAATGACTCAAATTTATCCTTTATGGCAGAGTAGTATTCCATTGTGTGTAAATACCACACTTTCTTTATCTATGCATTTGTTGATGGATATATAGGCTGCTTCCAAGATTTAGCTATTATGTCTTGTGCTGCTATAAACATCAGTATGCATGTATCACTGTAATATAATGTCTTTAGCTCTTTTAGAAAGATACCTAGAAGGGAAATAGCTGGGTTGAATGGAATTTCTAGTTTCAGGTTTTTGAGGAATCTCCATACTGATCTCCATAGTGGTTGTACTAGTTTACATTCCTAGCAATGTTCCACCGCCTGTCATTCTTTATTGATGATGGCCCTTCTTTCCAGAGTAAAATGGAATCTCAGTGTTATTTTAATTTGCATTTCTTTCATGGCCAGTAGACCACATTTTAGTTTACTTCATATTTGAATACTTCTTCATATAGAGTTTCAAATTATTATTTTTGCCATTTTAAGAAGTGCATTAAAGGGAAGAAAGGAAAGGAAAAAGTATGAGAAAGAAAAAAATGGAAATGAAATCTATGTAAATAGGGAAGGGTGGTGGGGGTGAAGGGCGCATAGGTAATGGGGAAAAAAATAAGAACTAAGATACATCATGTTCAGGTACAAGCACCCAATGATAAATGTAAATGCATTGTATACCTAAAATGTACCAATTAATATATAAATTTTTTTTAAAAAGTGCATTAGGTTCCTAAGGCTATCATAACAAATTACCACAAATCAAGTGGATCATAATTACAGAAATTTATTTTCTCATGGGAGGGAGAAGTTCATATCAAGACGTCTTCAGGGCCCTGCCTCTCTCTGGGCTCCAGTAAAGGATCCCCCTGCTGCCTCCTAACTTCTGGTGGCTCCCAACAGTCCTTGGCATCTCCCGGTTTGTATCTTCATCACTCCAATCTCCACGCCTGTCTTCACATTGCCTTCTCCTCTGTGTATCTTCATGTCCTCTCCTCTTGTAAGGACACCTGTCACTGGATTTAGGGGCCACTTTAAATCCAGGATGATCCACCTCTAAATCCCTAATTATATCTGGAAGATGCTGTCTCCAAATAAGGTTACATTCTGAGGTTTCAAGTGGACGCGAGTTTGGAGAGACAATATCCAACACTCTTTGTCCTCAACAGTTTATTTTGAAAAAAATCTCAAGAATACAAAAAAACTGAAGGAATTTTATAATGAACACCTATAAACCTATCACCCAGATTTCTCAGTGACCATTATATTTTTACAATGAAATATCAATTCCTCTATCTGATCTATTTACCTATTGACCCATTTTATTTTTTATGCATTTTGAAATTAGCTCCCCACATCACTAAACTTAACTCTCAAATATATATCATTAGGGCTCAACATTTGTTTATAATTGTTTTCATTTGAGGTAAAATGTATACAAATATTATGTGTAATTCAGTGAGTTCTGACATTACCCACCAAATCTATATTAAGATACAGAAAATCAGATGTTCCTTTATGTCTCTTTCCAGTAAATCCTACCTGCTCCAGACATGAACCATTGTTCAGATTTCCTATGCCATAGATTACGTCCTGTTTGGACTTCATATGGACGAATGCACACAGTAGTCACTTTTTCTGTAAGTGTCCTTTCACTGAGCAGAGTGATTTTGAAATCCATCTGTGTTGTAGCCTATATCTCCTTCATCATATGAACATCTACAGCTTATCCATTTCCCACTGATGGACACATAAGCTATTGTGACAATGGTGTATAAACATTCTTGTACACATCTTTTTGTAGACATAGCTTTCATGTGTCTTGAATAAACAGGAGTAGAAGTGGAGTTGTTGAGGCATGGGGTAGGTAGAGATTTCATTTTATAAAGAACTGCTGTATATAGACAACCACACATGCGCCACGTGGTCCTGCAAGGTCACCCAGTTGTTTAGTCTCACCATGTCCCAGTAAGCTGGTAACAACTACTATAAGTGCTGTGGTGTAAAATAAAGATTTGTTCCTACTTTCTTGTGGAAAAAAAAAAAAGAACTGCTGTATCTATTTCCAAGTGGTCACATCATTTAACTATTAATCAATGCCTAGTAGAGGTCTGGTTACTGCCAATATTTGGTTTTGTTGGTCTTTTTAACTTTATCTATAGCGGTGGTGAGTGTACAGTGATATTTTAATTTCAGTTTTCACTTCTCTGATGTTCAATGATTCTGAGAACCTTTTCATGTAACATTTGTGTATCTTCTTTGGAGTAGTGTATGATCAAATCTTGGGCTCAATGAAAAAGACTATCTTTTGTAAATTGCTTGATTTCTTTACATAGTCTAGACTTTAGTCCCTTGTCAAATGTATGCTTTGGAAGTTTTT